TCAAGATTTTTGCTGAATAAACATCATTTGTTTGACTAAAAACCAAGATTGTTTTGAATAAAATCACGTTTTTTATGAATAAATCCAAGATTTTTGTGAATAAATCCAAGATTTTTTTGAAGATGTTCAAGGAAATGGGGTGTAAGTTTGATGTAAGTTTGCACCAAACTTACACTTTTGAGGTGTAAGTTTACATCAAACTTACACTAAACTTACACATCAAGAGTGTAAGTTTACACCAAACTTACATATCAAGAGTGTAAGTTATTCAAAAAAATGATTTAAACAGAAAAAACATGTGTGTTTTCAAAAAAATGTTTGATCAGTCATTTTTTCCATCAAAAAAAATCAACCAAACACTTTTTCGGATAGATTTTCCCATGCACATGTGAATGAATTTGATGACTGGAGGGCCCCAAGTCATTGCAAAACATTTGGATTTATTTTCAGGAAATGGATTGGCATTGGAAAACCTAAGTGATTGATTAACTCTGGGTTGGATTGCATTTTCTTGCAAATAGGTTTGAGGAAGAAAAAAAAAGTAATGGATGGGCTCTGGGATTGACAACCGTTTTCTTTCTTATTGTAAGCATGAATCTGAAAACTGCAAAACCCAAAATTTAATGGCAAATTCCAGGTTTGGCTGTGTAGAAAATGTGAATGCTGAGCAACCCAAGTCATTGTTTGTTTTTAATCGTTTTTTTTTGGCATAAATGTCAAGGATGGAGAGCCCCAGGTGATTGTTAATCTTTGTGTTGGTTTTCTGATATCGAGGGCTGGAGGCCCTTTAGTGATTAATCAAGTCTGGGCTGGATTGGCCGTTTAGTTTTTGCAAAAAAAATTGAATACAACCAATCCTCACCAGGACTTTCTTCTTTTTTTTGCCGACCATTGCTTTTTGACAAATGAAAGGCCATCCAGTCTTGACAGTTTGTTTTTACAAAACTACTGCTGCCCGAACTGGTTTCAAAAAAGGCCCTTTCAAACCCTTGGATTGCAGATAATTCAAGAAAGAAATCAGCCCAGGGCTGGGACCTCCATCTCAATTTTTTTAGTTGAAAGAAAGTGGATGGCAGCAAAACAAAACGACAAACAAACAAAAACACATGAAGACCCATACACACGCATGAACAACCATGAACATCCATGGACACCCATGAGCACTTGAGCGCGCATGAGCACCCATGAACTCACATGAATTCGTGTTTTCCAAATACAATGCAGCTGGCAAATTGCTTGTTGAATCGTATGTCTCACAGTTTTTGAGCTTCTTATTTTGGGTTGTTGGCTATGTGAGTTTTTGATTTACTTGTTCTTTTCTTGAACTGAACATTAAATCTATTTTTATGTTTTATATGTTTTTTGGTTCTGTCCTTCGGTGGCCTCGCGTTCCGAAAAAAATATTTGCTGATTTTTGCAAAACATGACTTTTTATTTATATATAGTTATTTATTTATTTATTTATTTATCTATTTATTCATTCAGTTTATATATATATATATATATGTAGTATATGTATATATGATTATATGTGTATATATATATGTATGTGTATATGTATGTATATATATATATGTAGTATATATATGTGTGTGTGTAAATTTATGTTTTTTTTTTTTAAATACATACATATATATATATAAAAGTGTGTGTGTGGGGGGGGGTTGTCTCAAAATGAGGTGTCCTTTTTTCCTCTCAAAGAACCCTTTTTGGAACCAAAAAAAGACACCTCGTTTTGAGACATATCCATGTATATACAATATATTTATTTGTTGACATGTGTTTTCTGTTTCTATCCTGTGTTGGTTTGTCCCATCCAAAAAATATGTTTTCTGGTTTTCTTTTGTATGTAGTTTTTTCAGCATCATTTTATCGGAAAAATGTATCAAATCAAACAATGTTTCATTGGAGATTGCAATATAGATAGATTTTTTTTAAATATATATATATATATATATAAAGAAAACAAAGTGTCCCCAAAAAAGAGTACCAAAACAGGTTATTCATATAAATAACCTATAAGAAAAAATGGTTATTCATATAAATAACCTAAAGAAAAAATGTTATTTGATCATTCTGACTATTAGGTAAAACAGTTGTTTTACCTAATAGGTAAAAACAAAATTTAACCAATAGTCAGAAAACAAGATATAACCTAATAGATAGAATTTAGCCTAACCAGAGCTTTTGGGTAGTAGTAGTAGTAGTAGTAGTAGTAGTAGTAGTAGTAGTAGTAGTAGTAGTAGTAGTAGTAGTTGTTGTTGTTGTTGTAGTAGTAGTAGTAGTTGTTGTAGTAGTAGTAGTAGATCTAGGGGTGGCAGGAATAGCTTTTATTGTTGAAGCCACGAGACCCTTTCCTGGCATGGCATGAAATAATTCGGGTCAATATTTCAAAGCCACGGTGGTCCCCTTGTCGCATCAGGCCAGTCAGGCGAATTCGTTGCTACACCCAGAACCCTCAGCTTTGGACCTTGCTCTGCCTTCACAAGTCACAGCAGACAGTGCATGTGACCTATGTCGACACCTTGGAAAAGCAGGCAGACACTGCAGTGGAGGCGGCTGTGCAGGCACTGAGCTTTGTCAGAGCAGATCTGCGAGCGCCAGCCCGTCAGAACCGCACGTTTCAGTCAGATGGCTTGGTCTCCTGCGGCTTGCTTTGCCTACAATGGTGTGAGAGACAGTCCAGGGATTTCATGAAAGTGGGGCAACTTCCCTACGTCAGCTCAGGACGTGAGCTGGCAGTCAGGCTCATGGAATGGATCGCCAAGCTGTTGCAGCAGCGGCACTTGATGGAAGCGAAGGCAGCAGAGAGAGACAAGCCAGTGAACACAGACATGCCTCCCTTGCCACCTCCAGACACGCCGCCGCCGCCATGTGTGCCAGATGAGCCCGCAAAGACAGAAGGGATTTTGTTTGGTTGCTCGAAATGCAGTATGCTGAAGTCAGGCTGCTTGGCCTGTAACCCAGCCAAGACAGTGAAACACTTGGTGAAAACACAGCCCGAGCTTTTCCAGTCAGAGGATTAGACACGGCAGTAGCGTCAGATAAGCCTCTTGTGTAGAGTCAGATAAGCCTCTTGTGCAGACAGGCAAACCGCATGGTAGTAGACACTCTTGTCAGCAGGGAGCTGCTGAAAAGATTTGCCCGGTGCAAGCATTTTCCTTTGACGGAGCATTTGACATCTTGGAAGAATCAGACCTGCTGTTTCAATGTGCATCCCTGTCACTATTCGAGTCATTGGAAGCATGTTGTGTCTGGGACATGGGATATAATTACTATGCAATCCCTGGGTCACTATCCTTCCTTACTTGGTATAATGCTGCAAGGCTTCTCAACCTGGTGACTGTCAGTGATCGCCAGGTGCATCCGGTGTGAAGGATCCATTTCTGAAGAAATGGCTGGACTGCGTGTGCTTCGTGCTGAAAGGCTGGACCACGACATGGTCAGAGAGGACTCCATCATTGGTGCAATCTCAAAAGACGGCCCACCAAGGCCCAACAAATATGGTTGACTTGATAAAATCACCGTGATTTGGATAGATTTTGTATTTGGGTCTGGTATGGATTTCGATGCTTAAACTTACTAGTAGGAGTAGTATTAATGGATATTACAGCTGATTTGAGTTTGAAGACTAGGGTGCCTGTGCGTGTCCTGTATTTTGTATTTTTACACCTCATCAACATTTTACTCCGAAGAAACTTGCCACTAGTTGAGTAGCAAGTCCCTTTTTCCAAGAACTGATGCTGTTGGACGGACAAATAGCAATGACAATTCGCATTTAAAATGTCTACCCAACTATGATGGCTACAATCTTGTGGCTGTTCCCCCAATTGGAGCAATGTTTAGCATGATATTCGTTACGAACCCGAATCCCGCGCAGGCTCCGCAGCCCAGCCATTCTCCATTCTCAACGAAAGCAGTCACAGCCAGAAAAGTTCGATTGCTTCTGGGATGTCCCCTAATAAGCCTGCCGAGGCGTGTTAATTTATTCTCGGCGCATGTAGTATTGGTTTTCAATAGGCGGAATGGAAAAACAATTCAAAAAATTGGCCCCGAGCGCCGGCATTCTTTTTATTAGGGACGCCTTTATTCAAGTTAATAGGGGGTCGAGATTAGTTATAGCGACAAGTTTCCTCTACAAAATCCCAAGCGCTAGCGGTTGTACAAAGGGATTTTGTAGTTTTAGTGAGCTTTTCTTGGGTATATGAGCATGACCCTCAGGTTTGCGATTTTGTAGAGGGACATTTTGGGGCAGCGGTAAAGTGCGCATCTGACCCGTGTTTGTGATTTTGGCAGGCGTTTTAAAGGGTACTTTTTTAGGTTGCACTTAAGTAACCCTTGTTTGGGATTTTCGAGAGAACCTGGATTTTGTAGAGGGACAATATTTGTAGGGGACCCCTGTTTGAGAATTTGCAGAGAACCCTAAAATCGAACAAAAAAAGAAAGCCATATACTCAAAACCGTTCAACTATATTAAAAGGAAGGAATGTTGACCAAACACGTTCTTCAAACATGCCGCGCACTTCCTGCACACCAGTTTTCTGGCATATGATCTACCCCAATCGGTGTTGTTGGTTTTTGGACTGAACAAAATGGCCCGAAATCGGTGCATGCCATGCCCTCAGCCAGTATTTTATAAAATTACTCAATCAGATGGTTTCCTTATCCGTTTAGAAAAAAAACTGTCCTTTCTTGATGGGCCCCGCGCACGCACGCGCCTCAGACTGTTTTTTTTGGTACGTCGGGGCACGCCCACACCAATCTATAGCTACCCTGTGGTGATTAAACCTCTTGAGATGGTGATTCCAACGCCGCTGCAAGCCTAAGCCGAGCCCAGTTCTTGGGGGATGGTGATCAATTGTCATAGCTATAGAATTCCCATTCTGGGATGGACGACCGTATATATATATATATACATATATACATATATGTATATATATATACATATATATACATATATGTATATATATATGTATATTATAACATGTTTTGAACCTGGCTGCAGGTTGTCTTCTACGTCAAGCCGGCACTTGAGTGTGCCAGCGGATCTCGCTGCAAAGTGGAGGAGGTGCGTGACGTATGCATCCCCAGCACTGAAACATGCATCTGTCCCTTTGCCTTTACAGGATGCCGTTGCTTGTTGCGACTCGTCATCCCGGAGTCTGTGACTGCAATTGGAGATAGTGCTTTTCGTGATTGCAGCTCGTTGAAAGGCTTAACCATCCCGGAGTCTGTGACTAGAATTGGCGATGGTGCTTTTGCAAATTGCAGATCGTTGACAAGTTTGGCCATCCCAGAGTCTGTGACTAGAATTGGCGATGGTGCTTTTGCAAATTGCAGCTCGTTGACAAGTTTGACCATCCCAGAGTCTGTGACTCAAATTGGGGAAGGTGCTTTTCGTGACTGCACCTCTTTGACAAGTTTGACCATCCCAGAGTCTGTGACTCAAATTGGGGAAGCTGCTTTTCGTGACTGCAGCTCTTTGACGACTTTGATCATCCCGGAGTCTGTGACTCGAATTGGACATGATGCTTTTGCAAATTGCAGCTCGTTGACAGGCGTAACCATCCCGGAATCTGTGATTTACATTGGAAATTCTGCTTTTCGTGACTGCACCTCTTTGACGAGTTTGACCATCCCAGACTCTGTGACTCAAATTGGGAATGTTGCATTCGCTGACCGCACCTCTTTGACAAGTTTGACCATCCCAGAGTCTGTGACTCAAATCGGGAATTTTGCATTCGCTGGCTGCATTTTGTTGACAAGTTTGACCAGCCGGGAGTCTGTGCAGAAGATCGAGAAGAACATCGTGGATGGCTGCAGCTCTTGGACAAATTCAACGCATCCAAGTTTTGCCAAGCCGTCTAAAAGATGTCGGAGATGAAAATGCTGGGAGGATGGGGCTGGATATCACACTTTCCACAGAAGTACCAAGTGTGTCGACTTAGAAGTTGGTTAGAATCCCCATTAGTTTGGTATATCCAATATCTAACACAAACCCAAGTGAAATCTTTGAGTTATTGGGGCACGACCTCGGCGGCTTTTCTGAGATGCTGTTGTTTTTAAAGGTTCTTGGGAAATCCACAACTTGAATCAAAGTTATGATAGTTATGGCCCTGTAAGCCAGTTATAAATGGGATGAACTAGCTCCTGCACCTAAGGTTGGTTGTTGGTTATATATCACTGAAATGAGTTTTTTTCACCTCTCAGACCGCTGGCTGGGCATACAACTCTGCTGTGCTCCCAGAGCCGCCCCAAATCATCCAAGTTGGCCAGTGGCAACATTGTTTTAGTTTTATGACTCTATTTGTCCCCAAAATAGTGATACAACCACAAGATATGTAAAATCATTTAAATGCTATGCCAGATGTTTGCAAAATCCCTTGATGTTGTGAATTCATGGGTGCCTATTGCCGCGTAAGACTTGGTTGATCTTTTCTCGTGGGCAAATCTTGGTCATCACGGCGGACAAGCAGACCGAAATATGAGGATTCAACCATCTGAAATATGAAGAAATCTTGGTGAATGATGGTTTCATGGGCTACCCTCTGGTAATGACTAACATAACTATGGAAAATCACCATTTATAGTGAATTTTCCTATGAAAAACGGTGATTTCCATAGTTATGTTAGTTTACCAGAGGCTACTCTTTTTCAATGCTTTCCGTTATGGGGGATCAACAGTACCTACAGCTGACATTGTGAAATTTGGCAGGCTTCCCAACAAAAGACCGACAGCCTAGATGATGATTTGGCATCCCAACAAAACCATCCCCAGTTCATAACCCCCCCTCGAGATGGTTTCAACATGTTTCGAATATGTGGTTTCACTTCCTACTAAACAATAGTGAACGGTTCAACCGGGGCTGTCACTCCGTGTCTGAACTCGGTGATGTTGTACAATGATGGACCACTCGGGCGGGTCAAAGAAGCATCACCATGGGTCACCAATTGAACCGCCGATGCTGCGATACTCCGCCCTTGCTGTTCGGATTTCATCTTGTGTCCTCAGTATATAATTATATACATTCAACAGGACGTAAAACACATCTATTGTCATGTGATATGTATCCTCATTTCTGTTTTCATTTATTTATGTATTCATTTGTTTGTGTTTTGTTTATTTTATTTGTTTGCTTCTCTAATTATTCCTTGATTTTCCATGCATCTGGGTAAATTATAACGATCTCACTGCGGCCCAACTGGAATCACGGTTAGGGAAATCATCCCCAAATCACCGAACGACTTTCAAGTTAGTGAATCATTACAAATGACCCAGATATGATAGATACTGATCACACAGATATATATATATATACATATAATTATGCATATATCATATATCTAATCGTCATTTTAATGGTGATTTAATGGGCTTTAACCATAAATAAATACTATTACATCCATTTGGGACAGCTTCAACTCTCCGCAGGTGAAGAAGTGGTTGCCCCACATGGAAAACCAGGTGGAGGCGTGCCACCATGGACCCCCCAAGAAAGCATGCTGGATGGGGATGAAACATGATGAAACCACCCTGAGCATCCGATATTGATTACAATCAATATTTTTTCCAAAAAAAATATCGATATTGATTTTACTAAAAAATCAAAATAAATATCAATATAAAACTAATTCTTTTGAAGCTTCAAAATCAATATAAAAAGTTGGACCAAATGCCTCTTTCTATTGATATCCACTTTGATTTTTATACTCATTTCCCTCTATTTTTATATTGATTTTGAAGCCTCCAAAATCAATATTTTATATTGATTTTGAAGCCTCCAAAATCAATATTTTATATTGATTTTGTGGTTGGTTTTTGACATGGTTTTGGAGTCTGGGAATGTGTTTGTCTCTACCCTGCCCCTTGCAAAAGGGTAGCCCTTGCAAAAGGGTGTTCCTTGTATTTCCTTTAGTGCCATGTTTGTTGTCCATATGTTTTTGTCTCTTTTCCTATGCTATGCTAAAGCAAACAAAACATGTTTAGTTGTTAAAACAAGCAAACTAAACACATGAACATGTCCTGCCTGCAGCCATTTTTGGTTCTGAGCCTAGCAGCTATGAGTAGGAAGAAGGAGAAGGAAGATGTGGACATGGAGGAGGAAGAAGAAGAGGAGGAGTGGGAGGAGGATGAGCCTTGGAGAAATTCCAAGGGAAGGAAGACTGGTGGGGGCACCACCTCTTGGGCTAGGCAAGCCAGAAGAGCTGCCAAGCAAGCCAAGAGGGTGGTGATGTCCACTGGCAAGCCCCTTGAAAAAGGGGAGGAAGCCCTTGCAAAAGGGAAACCCCTTGAGAAAGGGAACAAAGCCCTTGCAAAAGGGACACCCCTTGAGAAAGGGAAAGCCCTTGCAAAAGGGCAAAATGAAGCCAGGTTCCAGGAGCTGAAGGACAAGCTGGTTAAGAGCCTCAAAAAGGGGAAGCTTGGTCCCAGGCTGGAAACTGGCACACCCCTTGGGAAAGGGACAGGTGCAAGCAGCAGCAATGCTGCACCCCTTGAAAAAGGGAAAAAAAAACCTCTTGAAAAAGAGGAGGCAACAGCCCTTGAAAAAGGGCAATTCCTTGAAAAAGGAAATGTTGCCAAAAAGGTGGCAGTTCTGGAGTCAAAGACTGCCACCAACAAGCAGGCAAAATCCCTTGCAAAAGGGAAGGAGACTGCAGCCCTTGAAAAAGGGTCAGAAAAGAAGCAGCCTCCTGAAGCCCAATCAGAACCTTTGGCTGTGTTGGTTGATTGGCACCATTGCCTGAAAAATGGTCCCCAGGACACTGTGCTGGTCCAGGACCTCATGGCCCTGCAGAAGCTCCTTGACAAAGGAGTGGAGGTGCATGTGCTCTCCTTCTGTGGGGCCAAGCAGGTCCCCAAAGTTGAAAAGGAAATCTGGGACAAGCTCCCAGATCTCATTGACCAACTTCACTGGTGGGGATGCTGCACCAGTCGCACTGGGGTGGGGGGCAAGGCAGAGTATGCCACAGAGTGGGGCTGCCAGGTGGCCTTTGATGATTCAAAGGACATCTTGCAAGAGCTGGGCTCATGGGGTGTCAAAACCTATGGCATCCAGACACCCAGAGAGAGCCATGCATGGATGCCAGAAAACTCCAGGTTTGCATCCTGTGCAGATGCAGTGAAGCAGTTCATCAGGGATTACAATCTTTGAGACTGCTTCCAGCCCTTGCAAAAGGGTGCTCTGCAAAACCCTTGAAAAAGGGTATGGCTCTCACATGGCAACCCTTGAAAAAGGGTAGGTGTCTAGCCCCAATCCTTGCAAAAGGATAACCCTTGAAAAAGGGTAAAGTGTCCCCACCCCCAAGGATAACCCTTGAAAAAGGGTAGGTGACTGGCCCCAATCCTTGCAAAAGGATACCCCTTGAAAAAGGGATGTCTCACCCCAAGCCTTGCAAAAGGATACCCCTTGAAAAAGGGACAGTGTCTCACCCCAATCCTTGCAAACGGATAATCCTTGCAAAAGGATCAAATAAGAGCAACCCTTGCAAAAGGGTCATGTGGCTCAGGTCTACACACAGCATTTGCAATAACAAATGCATGTATTTACACACACACATACATACATACATACATACATGCATGCATACATACATACATATATATACATAGGTGTGGTGATATTTAAAAAAACACTGTGTGTTTCTGTTTGCTGTGTGTTAACCTGAGCCATAGCTCAGCCCTTGCAAAAGGGCCACTTGTAGCTGCAGCCCAACAGTGGTTTGTACAGAAGCTACCAAATGTGTAGCAAGCAGCAAAAAAATGAAATAAATAAATATAAATAAATCAAAATAACTAAATAATTAATGTATTAAATATAAATACATGCAACTTTACACAACTTGTTTACACAACTTGTTTTTTTAATTAGAAACCTTTGCCATGGACATATGCCTTTTGAAAACCTGATGTTTTTTGAGTTTTGCATGGACCCTAAAACAACCAAGCAGGGAAACACAGATACTACTGAAAAACAAAGGCAATGGAATAAAGTCTTTCCCAGAATGTCAACCCCTTGCAAAAGGGCACCAAATTAAACATTATCCCTTGCAAAAGGAACACCACACACATTCAAGATTTAAGGTGTCAAGGTTCATTTTTGTAAACTGAGATGATTTCTCAAATGCTGTTTGGTGTCTGTTTCAGGCTGCAGGCAGATGATTATGTTTCTGTTGACTCTGCAGTTTCTTGATCCAAACAAATCCCACAATGATGTTTGAAACAGCATAGAAACACAGAGTACTAAACTGTTTCACCCAAAATTAAAAGCCAGTGAATTCATACCTGAAAAAACATGAATTAAATTTGATTTTTATATATATAATAGGTTAAGATGCAGATGGGAAAATCCTTAATTGCAAAAATAAGTGTTCAAATTATTTATTTTAAGACTCAGACACAAATAGTCTCTGGAATCTATATCAAATTATACAATGTATTTTCAAACAAATTCCAGTATAGTTTCAATATAGTCCAATACAGGTTTGACAGTGAAATGTTGCCTTACTGTTTTGTTGTGAACAAAAAACATTAAAAACTATTTAACCTATTTGTTTTGGTTTTGAAAGGGTTTATAAATTGAAAAAAATAGTTTTAAAAATATTAGTGCCAATCCAATCCTATCCAATTCTATCAGTTTTTTTTTAAAACAGGTTCATCAAAAAATTCAAGGCTTTGAAAATAAAAATTGAATTTTGATAAAATTTGATGAAAACATTGTTTTCATCAGATTTCATCAAATTTCATCAGAAGAATCAAGGTTTTGAAAAAAAAACTGAACTTTGATGAAATTTGATGAAATTTGGTGAAAACATGGTTTTTCATCAAATTTCATCAAATTTCATCAACGTTCATCAAAAAATCAAGATTTGAAAAAAAAATGAATTTTGATGAAATTTGATGAAATTTGATGAAATTTGATGAAAACATGGTTTTTCATCAAATTTCATCAAATTTCATCAAAGTTCATCAAAGTTCATCAAAAAAATCAAGGTTTTGAAAAAAAAATGAACTTTGATGAAATTTGATGAAAACCAGGTTTTCATCAAATTTCATCAAATTTCATCAAAGTTCACCAAAATTCATCAAAACTAAATTCATTTGAAAAAAAATCAACAACCAGTGATTGAAACCAGATTTAGATTTGCAACACCTTGAAAAAGTTAAGATTAATGTAACCAATGTTTGTTGAACATTGGTTTTGGTATTGAATTTATATGTGTTGTATGTTTGTTTGGTTAGTAACATCAATTTGTTTTGGTTTGGAAAATATTGAAAAACACGTGTTTTGCTTAAATAACAAAAATGTTTTATCTATGTTTGTTTTATATTGTTTTGGTTTGTGTTAATGTATTGCTTTGGTTTGGTTGAAAAAAACATGGGTTTTCTTCCACCTGCAAAATAATTAAATCATAAATATTCAATATAATTTAATATAATTGCATAAAATTACTAATATACATTTATATAAATAAATATTATATATATATATATATTTATTAATGAACATGCTTGTGTATGATATATGCATGGTGTTTTTCATTTGTTATGTAGTTTTGACAAGAAAACTATTTATATGCCTTATAATATATTATATGTTTGTTTTAAAACACACACACACATGAACTAAACCCTTCATGCACTTGCAGCCATTTTAAACTTCAAACACTTTTAGGAAGAAAATGCTAATTTCCAAGATGCCAAAACCATTGAAAAAGAAAATTTTGAAAAACAAGCCATTGCAAAAGGGCAACTCCTTGCAAAAGGACAAGCCCTTGCAAAAGGACAAGCCCTTGCCAAAGGGCAAGCCCTTGCCAAAGGGCAAGCCCTTGCAAAAGGACAAGCCCTTGCCAAAGGGCAAGCCCTTGCCAAAGGGCAAGCCCTTGGAAAAGGACAAGCCCTTGCCAGAGGGCAAGCCCTTGCCAAAGGGCAAGCCCTTGCCAAAGGGCAAGCCCTTGCCAAAGGGCAAGCCCTTGCAAAAGGACAAGCCTTGCCAAAGGGCAAGCCCTTGCAAAAGGACAAGCCCTTGCCAAAGGACAAGCCCTTGCCAAAGGGAAAGCCCTTGCCAAAGGGCAAATCCTTTCAAAAGGACAAGCCCTTGCAAAAGGACAAGCCCTTGCCAAAGGGCAAGCCCTTGCCAAAGGGCAAGCCCTTGGGAAAGGGCAAGCATCTCCCCAGCAGTGGCAGCAAGCCCTTGAAAAAGGACAAGCCCTTGAAAAAGGGCAAGCTGTGTGCTAAGAACCTCAACAGACTTGGCAATCTTTCTTTGCAAGAGAAGGTTGCTGCAGTTTGTGAGGAGCAAGTGATGATGACAGGCTGGTTAACCATCCAGCAACCCTTGAAAAAGGGTGGGGGCAAGTCACCATCCCTCTGTTCACACATGGTGATGGAGTGGAATATGAATCCAGGGACAGCTTGATGGTTTGGAGCTTTGGACCCCTCCTCTCCCAAGAACAATCCCTGGACAGCCACTTGCTCATGACAGCCCTTGCAACAAATTTAGTGGCACAGGCCTTCCCTTTGACCCTTGCAAAAGGGAATTGGTCATTGCCAAAAGGAACCAGCCCTTTGCAAAAGGGGACTAACCCTTGTAAAAGGAGCCCTTGCAAAAGGGGATCCCTTGCAAAAGGGAACCAGCCCTTGCAAAAGGGTAGTGTTTTTAGAAATGGCCTCAAGGCTTCTGTGCAGCAAAGCCTGTGAAACACTTCACATGCCTAGAAAAAGTTTGCTGGCTGCAGCTTGGGAAGGTGGGAAAGGGAATGGTAACTGGGCAGGCATACAGGCTTACCTGGCATGCATGCCTCTGCAGCTGTTTTGCTTCAAAGCTTTAGGTTTAGTGTGAAAAGTTGTAGAAGATCCAGCCCTTGCAAAAGGGCAAGTTCCAACCCTTGGAAAAGGGTAGCCAAGCCTTGCAAAAGGCAAACCTTTAAAGGTATAGAGAAACCCTTGCAAAAGGGAAACTCCTTGAAAAAGGGTTGGGGTTTTAAAGCCCTTAGCCCTTGAGAAAGGGTGATGAGCAACACGCCTTTCAGCTTGCCTGCGCCATGCCCACCAAACCCTTGGGAAAGGGGCCAGCTGGAAATAAGACATAGAGTTCTTGCAACCATGGACCCCCCAACAGAATATTGGGGAGTCTACCATGAAAGGTGGCTGCAAAATGTAGGTGAGGCAAGCTTTTCTTTGGACCAAAGCTGCTTGATCCAAAGGAAAAACAATGATGGCTTCACATATTTTGCACTTTGGCTGAAGCCAGTTGCTCATGGGTTTCCTGTGGTGCAGCCTCATATTAGCTTGGGCTTGGCCAAATTTCTTACCCATCAAGAACATTGGATTGCAACTATCAGGTCACAAGCTTTCCTGTGGCCAAGGGTAATCAAAGGGCAATTCCAAAGATATGGGCAGCTGAACTTTGCCTTGTTGCAGAACAATGAACTCTCAGCCCTGGTCCAAGTATTGCGAGAAACTCTTGCAAAAGAGTCCTGCAGCACAAAACAAATGGACAGGGTGCCCCACATCAGCTCGACCCCAATTATGAAGTTTGGCCTTTGAATCCTTGCAAAAGGATAATTCCTTGGGAAAGGAGCACCCCTTGGGAAAGGGATGGCTGCCAGGAATGATCCTTGAGAAAGGGCACCCTTTGCAAAAGGGTGGATGGAGCATAAGGGGTGCCCCTTGAGAAAGGGGAAGCTGCCATCCCTTGAGAAAGGGAAACAATGGTCCTTGACAAAGGACACCCCTTGAAAAAGGGATGAGTGGAGCTGATCCTTGGCAAAGGATGCCCCTTGAGAAAGGGACACCCTGGCACACAATCATTGCAAAAGGATTGCCCTTGCAAAAGGGCAATTGCCAAGACTAGCCCTTGAGAAAGGGTGCCCCTTGAAAAAGGGAGTTTGCCACAAGCAATCCTTGAGAAAGGATGTCCCTTGCAAAAGGGAAATTTCCAAAATCAATCCTTGAGAAAGGATGCTCCTTAATGCAAAAGGAAACCCCTTGCAAAAGGGCACTGCCACCTTAGCCCTGGAGCTCTTTGGACATCCCTTGGGAAAGGGAAAGGTACCAGCACTGATCCTTGCAAAAGGAGAGAACCCTTGCAAAAGGGTAAGTTGCCAGAGGCCCTTGAGAAAGGGCATCCCTTGAGAAAGGACATCCCTTGAAAAAGGGAGTGATGGAGCTAATCCTTGAGAAAGGGTCCTGATCCTTGGCAAAGGATAACACTTTGCCATGAAATTTGTGCATACAACCCTCCAAAGGAGGGGGCTGGTGCTGCAATGTCTGGGGTCCAAAAGGGAAAGGGGAGACAAGTGGAAACATTGGAAAAATATTGATTTTTATATTGATTTTTGGTTTGCTTTTCAAACCCAGCAAACAAATCAATATAGAAAAGTTTCTCAAATGCTGTTTGATGTCTGTTTCAGGCTGCAGGCAGATGATTATGTTTCTGTTGACACTGCAGTTTCTTGATCCAAACAAATCCCACAATGATGTTTGAAACAGCATAGAAACACAGAGTACTAAACTGTTTCACCCAAAATTAAAAGCCAGTGAATTCATACCTGAAAAAACATGAATTAAATTTGATTTTTATATATATAATAGGTTAAGATGCAGATGGGAAAATCCTTAATTGCAAAAATAAGTGTTCAAATTATTTATTTTAAGACTCAGACACAAATAGTCTCTGGAATCTATATCAAATTATACAATGTATTTTCAAACAAATTCCAGTATAGTTTCAATATAGTCCAATACAGGTTTGACAGTGAAATGTTGCCTTACTGTTTTGTTGTGTACAAAAAACATTAAAAACTATTTAACCTATTTGTTTTGGTTTTGAAAGGGTTTATAAATTGAAAAAAATGGTTTTAAAAATATTAGTGCCAATCCAATCCTATCCAATTCTATCAGTTTTTTTTTAACAGGTTCATCAAAAAATTCAAGGCTTTGAAAATAAAAATTGAATTTTGATAAAATTTGATGAAAACATTGTTTTCATCAGATTTCATCAAATTTCATCAGAAGAATCAAGGTTTTGAAAAAAAAACTGAACTTTGATGAAATTTGATGAAATTTGGTGAAAACATGGTTTTTCACCAAATTTCATCAACGTTCATCAAAAAAATCAAGATTTTGAAAAAAAAATGAATTTTGATGAAATTTGATGAAAACATGGTTTTTCATCAAATTTCATCAAATTTCATCAAATTTCATCAAAGTTCATCAAAGTTCATCAAAAAAATCAAAGTTTTGAAAAAAAAATGAACTTTGATGAAATTTGATGAAAACCAGGTTTTCATCAAATTTCATCAAAGTTCACCAAAATTCATCAAAACTAAATTCATTTGAAAAAAAATCAACAACCAGTGATTGAAACCAGATTTAGATTTGCAACACCTTGAAAAAGTTAAGATTAATGTAACCAATGTTTGTTGAACATTGGTTTTGGTATTGAATTTATATGTGTTGTATGTTTGTTTGGTTAGTAACATCAATTTGTTTTGGTTTGGAAAATATTGAAAAACACGTGTTTTGCTTAAATAACAAAAATGTTTTATCTATGTTTGTTTTATATTGTTTTGGTTTGTGTTAATGTATTGCTTTGGTTTGGTTGAAAAATCATGGGTTTTCTTCCACCTGCAAAATAATCAAATCATAAATATTCAATATAATTTAATAAGATTGCATAAAATTAAAAATATACATTTATATAAATAAATATTATATATATATAGTTATTAATGAACATGCTTGTGTATGATATATGCATGGTGTTTTTTATTTGTTATGTAGTTTTGACAAGAAAATTATTTATATGCCTTATAATATATTATATGTTTGTTTTAAAACACACACACACATGAACTAAACCCTTCATGCACTTGCAGCCATTTTAAACTTCAAACACTTTTAGGAAGAAAATGCTAATTTCCAAGATGCCAAAACCATTGAAAAAGAAAATTTTGAAAAACAAGCCATTGCAAAAGGGCAACTCCTTGCAAAAGGACAAGCCCTTGCAAAAGGACAAGCCCTTGCCAAAGGGCAAGCCCTTGCCAAAGGGCAAGCCCTTGCCAAAGGACAAGCCCTTGCCAAAGGGCAAGCCCTTGCCAAAGGGCAAGCCCTTGGAAAAGGACAAGCCCTTGCCAGAGGGCAAGCCCTTGCCAAAGGGCAAGCCCTTGCCAAAGGGCAAGCCCTTGCCAAAGGGCAAGCCCTTGCAAAAGGACAAGCCTTGCCAAAGGGCAAGCCCTTGCAAAAGGACAAGCCCTTGCCAAAGGACAAGCCCTTGCCAAAGGGAAAGCCCTTGCCAAAGGGCAAATCCTTTCAAAAGGACAAGCCCTTGCAAAAGGACAAGCCCTTGCCAAAGGGCAAGCCCTTGCCAAAGGGCAAGCCCTTGGGAAAGGGCAAGCATCTCCCCAGCAGTGGCAGCAAGCCCTTGAAAAAGGACAAGCCCTTGAAAAAGGGCAAGCTGTGTGCTAAGAACCTCAACAGACTTGGCAATCTTTCTTTGCAAGAGAAGGTTGCTGCAGTTTGTGAGGAGCAAGTGATGATGACAGGCTGGTTAACCATCCAGCAACCCTTGAAAAAGGGTGGGGGCAAGTCACCATCCCTCTGTTCACACATGGTGATGGAGTGGAATATGAATCCAGGGACAGCTTGATGGTTTGGAGCTTTGGACCCCTCCTCTCCCAAGAACAATCCCTGGACAGCCACTTGCTCATGACAGCCCTTGCAACAAATTTAGTGGCACAGGCCTTCCCTTTGACCCTTGCAAAAGGGAATTGGTCATTGCCAAAAGGAACCAGCCCTTTGCAAAAGGGGACTAACCCTTGTAAAAGGAGCCCTTGCAAAAGGGGATCCCTTGCAAAAGGGAACCAGCCCTTGCAAAAGGGTAGTGTTTTTAGAAATGGCCTCAAGGCTTCTGTGCAGCAAAGCCTGTGAAACACTTCACATGCCTAGAAAAAGTTTGCTGGCTGCAGCTTGGGAAGGTGGGAAAGGGAATGGTAACTGGGCAGGCATACAGGCTTACCTGGCATGCATGCCTCTGCAGCTGTTTTGCTTCAAAGCTTTAGGTTTAGTGTGAAAAGTTGTAGAAGATCCAGCCCTTGCAAAAGGGCAAGTTCCAACCCTTGGAAAAGGGTAGCCAAGCCTTGCAAAAGGCAAACCTTTAAAGGTATAGAGAAACCCTTGCAAAAGGGAAACTCCTTGAAAAAGGGTTGGGGTTTTAAAGCCCTTAGCCCTTGAGAAAGGGTGATGAGCAACACGCCTTTCAGCTTGCCTGCGCCATGCCCACCAAACCCTTGGGAAAGGGGCCAGCTGGAAATAAGACATAGAGTTCTTGCAACCATGGGCCCCCCAACAGAATATTGGGGAGTCTACCATGAAAGGTGGCTGCAAAATGTAGGTGAGGCAAGCTTTTCTTTGGACCAAAGCTGCTTGATCCAAAGGAAAAACAATGATGGCTTCACATATTTTGCACTTTGGCTGAAGCCAGTTGCTCATGGGTTTCCTGTGGTGCAGCCTCATATTAGCTTGGGCTTGGCCAAATTTCTTACCCATCAAGAACATTGGATTGCAACTATCAGGTCACAAGCTTTCCTGTGGCCAAGGGTAATCAAAGGGCAATTCCAAAGATATGGGCAGCTGAACTTTGCCTTGTTGCAGAACAATGAACTCTCAGCCCTGGTCCAAGTATTGCGAGAAACTCTTGCAAAAGAGTCCTGCAGCACAAAACAAATGGACAGGGTGCCCCACATCAGCTCGACCCCAATTATGAAGTTTGGCCTTTGAATCCTTGCAAAAGGATAATTCCTTGGGAAAGGAGCACCCCTTGGGAAAGGGATGGCTGCCAGGAATGATCCTTGAGAAAGGGCACCCTTTGCAAAAGGGTGGATGGAGCATAAGGGGTGCCCCTTGAGAAAGGGGAAGCTGCAATCCCTTGAGAAAGGGAAACAATGGTCCTTGACAAAGGACACCCCTTGAAAAAGGGATGAGTGGAGCTGATCCTTGGCAAAGGATGCCCCTTGAGAAAGGGACACCCTGGCACACAATCATTGCAAAAGGATTGCCCTTGCAAAAGGGCAATTGCCAAGACTAGCCCTTGAGAAAGGGTGCCCCTTGAAAAAGGGAGTTTGCCACAAGCAATCCTTGAGAAAGGATGTCCCTTGCAAAAGGGAAATTGCCAAAATCAATCCTTGAGAAAGGATGCTCCTTAATGCAAAAGGAAACCCCTTGCAAAAGGGCACTGCCACCTTAGCCCTGGAGCTCTTTGGACATCCCTTGGGAAAGGGAAAGATACCAGCACTGATCCTTGCAAAAGGAGAGAACCCTTGCAAAAGGGTAAGTTGCCAGAGGCCCTTGAGAAAGGGCATCCCTTGAGAAAGGACATCCCTTGAAAAAGGGAGTGATGGAGCTAATCCTTGAGAAAGGGTCCTGATCCTTGGCAAAGGATAACACTTTGCCATGAAATTTGTGCATACAACCCTCCAAAGGAGGGGGCTGGTGCTGCAATGTCTGGGGTCCAAAAGGGAAAGGGGAGACAAGTGGAAACATTGGAAAAATATTGATTTTTATATTGATTTTTATATTGATTTTTGGTTTGCTTTTCAAACCCAGCAAACAAATCAATATAGAAAAATAACACCAAGGGCTCTGAAATCAATATTTTATATTGAAAAAACATTGAAATCAAAAGTGCTTGCCCCATATTGATTGTAATCAATATCGGATGCTCAGGGCACGAAATGGACCATGCTGGATGGTGGTGTTCTTTTTGGGAACGGGGGATGGGATGAAAATGGGTTTTGAACCGCCAATGTGACTGAGATTGCGACAAGTTGGCTTTTTTCCCATTTTTTCATACAGATCATGACGGAAAGAAAGGAAGTCCTCGCTGTGGGTTTGAAATGGTTTGAGCATCAGGAAATACCTTGCTGAGATTGGCCAAAGTTAAGACAAGATAATCCAAAGCCATAAACCTCATGAACTACGAGAACTGGGACATGCGAGCTTCGCATCTCCAGTTGGAGGTTGACAAGTCAATCAATCATAATCCGATGATAAACTATGAAAGCACTCAAATGGTTCATATATCACATGAACCATAAACACGGGTCTATAATGGCACGGGTCGATAATGGTCAATCTATAACTATGTATAAATACTGTATGTATTCTATAATATATATAAATATATATGTATGGTGACCCTCTAGGCCCTATGATCTACCTTGAAGGTATCTTCTGAAGATGAAACATCTCGGCATCGCCAGAAACTGGATCACAAATTTCTGACGAAGAAACACCTCATCCGGAGCACCGGGAGGTGGATAGGTTGGTGGATCAGCAGGTGAAGCCGTTTGGTCATGTTTCCTCAAAATTATTCAAAACTCATATGGCTATGATACGAGATTTATCATATCCTAACTCTGGGAGATGGTGTGATCAAAAAAAGGTATATGACTATCAACATCAAACATTTAGTGTGTATAATTAGGTACCTTTATTATTCATGTCATTATCTAATGTTTAAAATAGATTTAGCACGGCGCGAGAGAGGGAGAGAGGGAGAGAGAGAGAGAGAGAGAGAGAGAGAGAGGGAGAGAGAAAGAGAAAGAGAAAGAGAAAGAGAAAGAGAAAGAGAAAGAGAAAGAGAGAGAGCAGATGGGTTCGTCGGAGCATTTTTTTCCACTCAAGTGGCCATAGATGGAGGTTTCCTGAAACAGGGGTACCCCTAAATCATCAATTTTAATAGGATTTTCTATTGTAAACCATCCAGAAATTGGGTATCCTCATGACTTAGGAAAGCTCCATACATGTTGGGCCAGAGCCTGTTTGGACAGGCCCAGGTGGTTGCACGTTTTTAGTCAGAGGTATTCACCCAAGTGGATAAGCATCTGGATGAACACATGTGAGCATCGCAAAACTGATTTCCATACCACTGCATCAGTCTGTCTATATTATATGTATATATATATATATTTGATATAGATGCATTTCCCTTTTCTGAATTTTACCATTTGTTAGTTCGAAGCATCTTCGGTTGACACGTCCCAGTGGACGAGTGTTTTTCTCCCAGGAGGTGGGAAGAGAAGATGATCTTCGTGACATCTTACGTCGGGCACCGAAGGGGAGAGATTCCATCCGCTGATCGTGGTCAAGTTTGAACACCCAACGGATCGTTCCGTAGGATGTGGATCCATGTTGAGAATGTTTGACTCTGTAATATGAAAATGAGTAGAAACAAGTTCGAACATGTTTGATTTTTCATATTAAAATGAGTAAGAGTAGATGTAGTATTACTCAAAATGAGTAGAAACCTTACCATCTACATCCAACCGGTTTGGGGTTGAGATCTCCAACTCAGCTGGGCTATGGCCACCACTTCCTACTGAGAAGACGATGTCTCCGGGCGTTGCAACATGATGCTACAAATGTATCCTTTTTCATTTTTTGGATTTTAAACATCACCAAAGCAAGTAACATTGATGGTGATGCTGATGATGATGATGATAATGATATGTATATGTATACATACATATATATATATTATTATTCTATTTTTTGTATATTTGTTCATGTATTCATGTATTCATTTAGGTGGTTGATGTTGTTGGAGATGTGGGTTGTCCATGGCCTCAGCCCTGCTACAAAGGACCAACTCTGGCGACATCCCCAACTGGGTCAGCAAGCAGATGGCAGTCCCTACAAGGTTTCTGAAACGCTGAGGCTGTGGAGATGGCTATCCTATTCTAATTTGACTGTACTATCTATGGATGTAAATATGACAGATCTTCCGTTGCCTGAAAAAATCTGGGTGTGTTTCAACATATATATATACATACATATCATACACATTTACAGTTTAGGGATATATATACAGTAAATGATAGTTTAGGGATCTTTGAATTTGAAAAGCTACCCATCCAGATTTCTTCTGAAAGTCTCCCAGAACCTGCGCGAAATTCACTAAGGGGAGCTGCGAAACGTTCGCACTCCAAATGGTTCAATTCGTTCCCTGTGGAAAATGACATTTTCGTGGTGAAAACTCCATAGCGGAGATGTCCCCACTTCAATATCCTTCAATCATACCACCAAATATCTCTATATCTATAATATTGTCTTATACACTTACATTAATATACATGCATCTAGATGTGTATTAATATGCACAAACACGAATGAATTCATCATCCCATATCCACGAATATCATCCCTCCCCCCTTACGTCGAGGTAGTGATCCTGGATGAAGCACATAAGATCAAAGATCCCGGGAGCCAACGGACCAAGGCCCGGACGCCGGTGGGTAAATTTTGGGTTATCGTTGGTGGTGGTGTCTTGTTTGTTGTCTGTTGTCTGTTGTCTGTTGTCGTTGTCGTTGTCGTTGTCGTTGTCGTTGTTGTTGTTGTTGTTGTTGTTGTTGTTATTCTTCATCTTATTCTTCTACTTAGTTTTGTTGGCGGTATAGTTTTGGCAGTTAAATCCACATTTGTTCATTTTGACGCCTCCATCTTTGCGATAACATTTGCATGCTAGTTTAACGGCGTAGTGCCGAGT